TAGGCATGCCTTTCCAGCAACTCTTTCCCCCACTGCTCTTTAGTCTAAGTTCTTCAAGGAATAGGAAGAAAACTACTCCTTTAAATTTAAAAAAAAAAAAAAAAAAAAGCCTTTGATACATTGGGGATGCTGATGCAGGATCAGCAACCTCAACTCAGTGGAAAATATTCTGGAGAACAAGAATAAAATAAACCATTTCTCTCTCCAATGCTTAAAACTTTCCCCATCTCCAGTAAAGAAAAAGAAGAAACCAGGTGTTCAGCTGTCTGCTAGAATGGCCCTTTCATATGCTCCTTCTCCGCTTCTTTGACCTGTTCATTTTTATCCACTTCAACAACTTTGCTTTGGGCTACTGAAAACTGCCACATTGAAATGCTAAAAGCAGCAGCCTAAGAGGCTCACAGGTGTCTTGGAAATTACTTAACAAGCTTTACTCAACATATTGATTAGTGTCTCTCCACAAAAACCCTTCAGAAAGACAGAGCACAGCATTTAAAAGGATCACCTCTTAATCTCAAAAACTGAAAAGGAAGGCTCATACGATTGTATCATGGACTGCAAAAGAGAGCTTAAGGACAAAGACAATTTATAAGCCATCTCCTACCAACCTCAAGACTTGACCTCCTAAAAGGCAGGAATCAGTGTAAACATTTTTTAAGTGGTGTTAAAGAAGACAAACCTTCCTCAGCAATCACATGTGAAAGACAGCCAGGCTCCAGACATTAGCTATTCATTCATCACAGCCCATCAAGAAGTAACCTGACCACTTCAGTGGGCAACTGTTCGCTACCTCGGCTCACAGATGAGATGATGTCTGTGCTCAGCATGTTTCTGTAGCTGGGCTGAGCAAAGGCACTTCAGAATTCATCCCCGGAGAAGCTATGCAACAAAAGCCTAAAATCTTTGAGCAACCACGTGAAATTTAAGGCTTTCTCTGTCTGAACTAAGCCAACCAGAGACTGAAGAGGATGAGGAAAAGTTAACAGGATCCTCCAGCTCCCTTAAGACAGCAGTTGTGTTATGTACCAGTTTGCCGAGCATTTATTTTGTTTGCATACTGTCTTAGGCAGTTTGATGTTCAATATGGCAATAAATTTCATACAAGGATTTCTGTTGTCCAATTCCTTTTCAGTAAGGATCTTCCCACATTCATATAAAGCCAGCAGTGAACTGATAAGCAGTAGAAAAATTAGCAAGTAATGTGGCATTAAGTCATACTCATAATGATAAGCTCTGGGAACAAAGGTGGAATTCATCAAGGTATTTTAGAACAATTCACAGGCATCTTGACAAGAAAAATGAAACTCTGCGTAACAAATACTCCTGGGGTTCTGAAATTCAAGGAGATGTTCAAGGAAGCTGATTTTCTACCATGTCAAAGCTCTGACACTCATCAGGGTCTGGTCTATCCCAGGGGTCAAACATGCAATGTGTCCTGACTCCTTGCAGCAGCTCTGTGTTTCTTACTGTCCTCCCTATCTCTCCCTTGGAGAGGCTGCAATGCCCCACAGCCCGGAGATCTCAACCACAAGACACCCAGCTGCAGCGCATAGGCATCTCCAATGAGCCACAGCTGTGCTCTCTTGCTGCCAAGAGTCTGGCAAATCACCTTGTCATTTTCAGGACAAAATGAAGCATCTAAACCTAGAGCTGCAGTGAAACCCACTCCTCTAGAAATAGCCGTTGCAATACTTCCCTCCATGGACCCAAGCTTGATTTACTAATATCAACTTCATCCTTATCATTTTTATTCTTTTTTAACCTTGTTACCCACTTGTGTTTCTCAATATGCAAACAGAACCCAGAAGATAGTTCCTACTACTTCAGCTCGTGACTGTTTATCACTCATCCTGGCCTGAAATGTGAAAAAAGATTCCGATTAACCAAAAAAGAAGTTGAAACTGCAGCTGTTACGTAAGAGATCTCTGTGATCCTTCTTCATCCAAGAAACATCCACACATGAAAAATAAAGGGAAAACTTACCTAGGATGCTTTTATTTCCAGAGTTCTTCTCTGGAAAAAGTTATACTCCCTCCTATTTTACATTCTAACCAACCAGTCCTCTGGCTGTGGAAGAACAGTGCCAAACTGGTCTCCTAGATACAATTTTTGCACAGAGCATGAGAAATCACTAAAAGCTAACTCCTCTCTAAGACATTATTTAGGCAGGTGAGAAGGCTGTGCACAGGAATATTGAGAACACAACAAGGTTTGGGAGAGGGTTAGAAGTTTAACCTCTGCTATTTTCTATACTAGCTTCAAAATTCAGAGCTTTTTGCTTGCCTATTTGCAGTAGGATATGTAGCATGCTACCAGTTTAATTCTGCAACTAATGGCATGGTATTCTCCCTCCCACAGGACCAGTCCTTCTACTCCTGTGCAGGCTGTAGTGCTTGTGCCTTTAAATAACAAAACCACTTGGAGGAAACATCCTGGCAAGTGTTTCTGTGGTGAGGCAGCTGACAGCAGTTTAATGAACAGGTTAAAACGGTTAAGAGTTAGTGTGTTTGTGAGTAGTCCAGTAGTACAGTTGGTGCATTTGGCTTTTACTAATCTCAAAGCCGGCCGTGCAAATTCAGGCTCAAAGGGAAAGGGAAGGACAACAGTCGGGGCAGCACTCCGCGGATGTGGCCAGCAGGAAGCGTTCCCCCACGGAGCAGAAACGGGTGGCAAGCCTCCCGGAGAGCCAGCGTGCCTTGTCTATGCAAGCACAAGCCACGTTGTCTTGCAACACAGAAAGACCAATGATTACAACTGTTAAAAGACAAAGTGAAAAGGGACAGTCTAGGATTCACTGTGCGATCCTTTACTCTAGCTTTTAGCCCTG